GTAGTTAGTGTGTGTGTGTGTGGGGGGGGGGGGTACGAGTACTGCTACCCTTCCTCCCGCACTGCTGCTGACGGCAGCACTGCCTTCAGAGCTGGGCAGCTGGAGAGCGGCGGCTGCTGGCCGGGAGCCCAGTTCTGAAGGCAGCGCCGTTGCCAGCAGCAGCGCAGAAGTAAGGATGACATGGTTTGGGGTTGCCACCCATCTGTGCTGCTGCTGGTGGGGTGCTGCCTTCAGAGCTGGCCACTTGGCCAACAGCCGCTGCTCTGAAGTATGGATGGCAATACCATGACCCTCCCCTCTAAAATAACCTTGTGATCCCCTGCAACCATTTTTGGGTCAGGAGTGGTGAAGCACTGGAATGGGTTCCCTAGGGAGGTGGTGGAATCTCCATCCTTAGAGGTTTTTAAGGCCCGGCTTGACAACGCCCTGGCTGGGATGATTTAGTTGGTGTTGGTCCTGCTTTGAGCAGGGGGTTGGACTAGATGACCAACTGAGGTCTCTTCCAACCTACTCTTCTATGATTCTATGACCCCCGATTTGAGAAACCCTGGTCTCCCCTATGAAATCTATAGAGTATAGGGTAAAAGCACACAAGAGACCAGATTTCACGGTCTGTGACGCTTTTTTCATGGCCGTGATTTTGGTAGGGCCCTTACTATGGGGCCAATCTGTAACAGTGAGGGGGAAGTCGCCGTTGGAACAAACTCCCCCATGGTGGATTTTCCATCAATTGAACTCTTCCAAGCCAGAGCAGATGCCTTTCCGGAAGACGGTCCATAGTCCAACACAAGCTAGCGGGTAACATTTAATGGGGATATTCTTAAGTTCCTTCTGGCCTTAAATCTAACAAGCTGAAAGCAAAACTGGCATAAGCACCTTTCTACCAATGTACTTGTGTCACACTACGCTCCGACTTACTATTACCGGTATAGCTTGTTTCGCTCCAAGAGGGCATTTTTAATATACTCCCGTTTCTCCAAAACCCTTTTATCCGAACCTCTGCATTACCCAAGGAAGGGATTTGGAGAACACGGAGGATCAGATCATAAAGCGGAGACCCCTGGGGCAGGACTGAAGACGACAGCCCATAGTGCTGATTCAATTTCTCTGCCCTCTTGCTTACCCAAATAAATTCCGGGTCCCGCAGGCGTTTCAGATAATCGGGAGCGTACCGTACCGGTATAAAGTGGGGCTTTGCCAGAAAAGCTGCGTCCAAAGCAGCAGCACTTTGTGGTATTCCTTATGCCGGTAAAGCGTGCCTAGTGTAGACAAGATCTGCTGCTGAAACAGAGGGTCTCCGCTGAGGAAGCTTTCCCCAGGTAGGCACAGCAAAGATGTGACCACCCTGCCATGGAGGAAAGAGGCAATGGGGTGGGGGACACAGAGCCATGGGCACAGGGGAAGATTGGGGAGCCCTGGCATGGGAAAAGGGGGAATGGAGAGAGAATGGGGCACCCTGATATGGGGGTAAGAAGGGAATCAGGGAGCACACAGAACCACTGGCATGGGGGAGGAAAACTGGGGAGACACAGAGCCTCTGGCATGGGGGAGATTGAGGGACCCCTGTATGGGGGAAGGGAGCAATGGGGGGCACAGAGAACCGTGGATGTCAGGCACTGTACACACCCAGACCAGAGACGGGGGCCCTGACGGGAAATGAAATGCGTTTGAGCGAGGGCCGGGAAAGGCTGCGCGGCTCAGGGCACGTCTACGCTGCAAGACTCTGGGTGGGAACAGCAGCAACGACGCAGCAGCTTGGTTTTTAACTCAGGGGTCAAGCCTGGAGTTTCCGGGGGTGTGTGTGTGTGTTAGCGAACCTGAGCCCAAGTTCGGATTCAGACACAGCCTGGGGCGGGGCGGAGAGCAGAGGCCTGAGACCAAACCCGAAAGCCCCCAATCCTGCGGCGACGGGCCAAGCCCCCGATGGCGGCAACGGGATCCCTGGCGATCCGGGGAAGGGGTGGACCTGGGGGGGGAGGGGGGGCGCAACACCTCTTCCTCCCCTTGTCGCAGCACCGGAGGAGGGGGAAGCCCGTCCGCCCTGCACACAGAGGGCAACGCAGTGGGCGCTATGGGGAGCGCGGGGCGGGCGGCTGCTCTGGGGGCCCCCCAGGGCCTGGGTATGTGTGGGGGGAAGGGAGGGGCCAGAGGAGAAAGTGCCTCAGACTCCAGGCAAACCTCCCAGTGGGGGGGGGGGGGGCTGTTGAGGGGGGGATGAGCTCGGCATCGAGATCCCATCAGCCCCCCCAATCAGGAGAAGATGAAGGGAGGAAAGAGGAACTGGGGGGGACAAAGCCTCTAACCCCCCCAGAGCAGGGGGGCCTTGGGGGAGGGGCGAGGCAGGAGGTTCGGGGGGGGGGGCGAAATCCGAAGGGAGCGGACCCAGTTGGGAGCAGGCCGCAGGGGGCGTGTTAGAGGGAGGGGCGGACCCAGTTGGGAGCAGGCCGCAGGGGGCGTGTTAGAGGGAGGGGCGGACCCAGTTGGGAACAGGGTGGGGGAGCGGACCCGGGTGGGAGCAGGGCCGGGGGGGGGGGCGGACCCCGGAGGGAACAGGCCGGAGGGAAGGGAGCTGGGGGGAGCGGACCCGGGTGGGAGCAGGGCCGGGGGGCGGACCCCAGTGGGAACAGGCCGGAGGGAAGGGAGCTGGGGGGGAGCGGACCCGGGTGGGAACAGCCCGCGGGGCGGGGCCGGTCACTCACCCCCCGGAGAGCGGGGCCTCGCTCCGGCTCCCTGCGCCGCCGCCGCCGCCTCCCAGGACCCCGGAGCCGCCGGCGCCGCCCAATGGCGTCATCAACCCGCGCGCCCGAAAAAAAGGGAGGGGCCGCGAGCGCCGCGTCACCCCGCCCCGCCCCCGACGCAGCCGCGGCGTCACGTCCCCGGCTCTCCGGCGCGTGCCTCCCCGCCCCCTCTTGGGCGGGGCCACGCCTCGCTCCTGGCGCTGTTACGTCACGGCGACGGCGTGCGTCAGGCAGAGGGAGGGGGCGGTGCCTGATCCTCCCCGTGGAAGGGAGGGGCTGGGAGAGGGAGCCTGTGAGGCCGCGGGGCATTGTGGGAGAGGAGGCCACCCCAGGGCATTGTGGGACACAGGTGGTCGCCCTAGGGCACCGTGGGACAGGCAGTTGCCCCCGGGGCATTATGGGACAGGTGGTCACCCCAGGGCATTGTGGGACACAGGTGGTTGCCCCAGGGCATTGTGGGTTAGGTGGCCACCCCAGGGCATTGTGGGATAGCTGGCCACCCCAGGGCATTGTGGGACAGGAGGCCACCCCACAGCATTGTGGGACACAGGCAGTTGACCCAGGGCATTGTGGGATAGCTGGCCACCCCAGGGCATTGTGGGACAGGAGGCCACCCCACAGCATCGTGGGACACAGGCGGTCGCTCCATGTGACCCAGGGCATCGTGGGACAGGAGGCCGCCCCATGGGCCCCAGGGCATTGTGGGACAGGACACCGCCTGACAGGATGGGTTGGGGCACAAGGCCACCTCCTGTCATGGAGGGCTGGCAGAGCCCTGAACATTTTTCGGGCAAGTCAGCCCTTCCAGTACTTTGAAGCGTCCCCTAACAGCTTAACAGCAACACATGCTGTCACCTGCAGAAGCTGAGAGGGGTGACCCAATGACTCCCTTCTGGGACCTCCCCCCACCCTGTACAAAACCCAATGGCCAAGCTGTAGCCAGGCTTGGAGATGAGGGCCACCCTGCCTCCACTTCCCCACCTACTGCAGCGAGGACTTGGCCTTCCACGGCGCTGTACATGATTTGTTGGGGAAAGAGACAACATGGCTGCTGGAAAGGGAAATCACGCCTCACTGATCTATTAGAATTCTTTCAGGGGGTCAACAAACACGTGGACAGCGCATCTAGTGTCCTTGGACTTTCCGAAAGCCTTTGACAAGGTCCCTCATGAAAGGCTCTTAAGCAAAGCAAGCCGTCATGGGATAAGAGGGAAGATCGTCTCATGGATCAAAAACTGGATAAAAGATAGGAAACAACGGGTAGGAATAAACGGTCAGTTTTCAGAATGGAGAGCGGTACCTCAAGGATCGGTATTGGGACTGTGCTGGCTGGAGTATGGAACAGCTTCTGTACGAGGAGGAATTAAAAAGATGGGACTGTTCAGCTTGGAAAAGAGGACTGCTGGGAAGGAGATGATAGAGGTCTCTCAAATCATGAATGGTGCAGGGAAAGTATATTTATTTCCCCTTTCACATAAGCCAAGAACCCAGGGGGACACCTGCTCAAGTTAATAAGCAGCAGCTTTAAAACCAAACCAAAGGAAGTGCTTGACACAACCTGGGGAACTCCTTGCCAGGGGATGTTGTGAAGGCCAAAAATATAACATGGTTAGAAAAAGCCGGCTCTGCCCCTGGAGGATAGGTCCATCAATGGCTGTTAGCCAAGATGGTCAGGGGGACAACCCCATGCTCTGGGTGGCCCCGAACCGCTGGGATTGGACAACGGCAACTTTCCATTGACCCAGCCCCTGTTCTGTTCCTTCCCTTGGAAGCACCTGGCACTGGCCCCCATCTATAGACAGGATACTGGGCTAGGTGGACCGTTGGTGTGACCCACTATGGCCATTGTGATCTACCAGTCAAACCATTTTAGAGCGGTCAACCCCTTCCATGGTAGATTCCTTTACAGAGATTAACAAAGGGACTTTCAACCCAGCCTCTTCCCTATAGCTGGACACCCATCGCCACCTTGTTAACAGGACTCTGATCCGCCCACAATCCAGTCCCCTCCCACCACGTGTTGTTATTTTGGACGGGGGCGAGGGAGATTCAGCTTTTTGTCCAAATCTGTTTCTTGTCTCCCTTCCGGGTGTGAATTTCCCATAGAGCTTCCACACCAGTTCCCAACCCATTCAAAAGTGAACCCCCCCGAAACAGTCTATTGAAATCAGACATCGGAGCTGGTTTCTCCTCACTCTTTATTGCGCAGAAAGACAGAAATCACACGCCCAGTTGAGTGGCCACATCTTTTGACCACGAAGACGACGCCCAGGGCGGAGACAGCGACAATGACAGCCGCTGCCACCAGCAAAATCAATGCCAGCACTATCTCAGGTGGGTCTTCACCACCTGCAAGAGGAAGAAGGGGGATAGAACCAGACACAGTGGAGTCTTGGATCCACAGACCCGCGTTACGGCCCATGCCTGTGCCAAGTGGTCTTTCAGGCTCAGAAGGAGCAATTAAGCCCCTTTAAAGTGTGAGAGAGCGATAGAACTTGGGAGAGATGACTGCCCAAGGCAATCTGCTGCTTGGAGTTTGCCTCAGCCTGTAATCAGAGGAAGCCAGGAGAAGGAATTTAATACCTAGCTCTTTTCATCTATAGATCTCCAGGTGCTTTAGAGAAGGTCAATATCATCTCCATTTTACAGATGGGAAAATGGAGGCACATAAAGGGACTTGGAAAATCTGGGTGACCTTTCACATGTCCCCGTTCAGTGCTCTATTCACTAGCCCACACTGCCTTTTGGGCACTCCAGGCCAGAAAGCCAGAGCACCGGTTGCTCTTTCTGCGTTCAGGGAAGCAGAACTTTGTAGATGGTATAAACAAGGGTACACCTGACTCATATCACCCCTGTCTCCTCATAGAGGCAGCCCCGTGAGGCCCAGAATATCTGCTAGCCACTGGGGCCAGTAGCAGATTCACAGCCGAAGGCCCAAAGGAGCCACTATGACTTCAGACAGCCTTGATAACTTAGGCTGCCAAAATTCGCCCACCATGCACTCCAGCCCGATTTAGGAGTGCTAGTCGAAACCTCAGAATTTTGTTTGAGAAATCCCAATATTTATATAGGACTGGAAAGGTCTCCTGGGTCATCCAGTCCAGGCAATGACATCAATTTAACCCCGATTATCAATTTATCAAGATCCATCTGAAGTCTCATTAGGTTTCCCTCTGCTCTCCTGGTTACTTCTATTAGGAATTATTCTTTACATCCACTCGGTTTGTTAGAGACCTTCCAACTTAAGTTTATTCATCGATGTTTTCCCCCGCAACACACAACGTCCACAATTTTTGTTCTGGATCCTTGATTTTATAATACCACTGCCCCGCCACACACACAAAATGTTCTGTTCTACTAAGGTAGAAATGGAATGTTTTGACCTTAATTGGAACATCCTTGTGGGGTTGTGTTGGAAGATGCTGTGGGAAACACGTTGCGTCTTAATAAGTCTTGGAGAGATGTTCTGTTGGATGACTAAAGTGAGAGCTTTCGTCACAATTGGTCACACTTTCTGATGGCCATTTTGAGGACCCCAAGTGCTGGGAGAATTCACCCTGATTTGGTCCCTAGCGTTGGCCAAGATGGCCACTATTCTTGAGGTCTTGACGCCTGTTAACTAACCCATGCAGAGGTTGTGACTCCTTACCTGAAAGAACTCATAGACTTTAAGGCCAGAAGGGACCATTATGATCATCTGGTCTGACCCCCTGCACGCTGCAGGCCACAAAACCCTTCCCTGGACTCTGCTGTTGAAGTCCCCAATCCTGTGTTTTAGTGACTTCAATCGGCAGAGACCCTCCTGCTAGTGATCCCTGCCCCATGCTGCGGAGGAAGGCGAAAAACCTCCAGAGGCTCAGCCAATCTACCCTGCAGGAAAATTCCTTCCCGACCCCAAATATGGCGATCAGTAAGACCCCGAGCATGTAGGCAAGAGTCTCTAGGCTGACCCTTGTTGGCCATTATACTATTTACGTACCATTGCTTGGTTTTCCTTGGCTACTATGTTTTACCATTAAACCATTCCCTCCATAAACTTATCTAACTTAAGTGCTGTTTCTTCAGAGACAGATGGCAAAAATCACATGCAATACCAGGAAGAGATGGTTTTAGCTAGAGCAGAGAGGGACCAGGAACATCAAGGATTTGTGGTTTCAATGGAAATGCAGCAGCCAAAATTACTTCAAAGCAGTAAGGATTACACTGGG